CGGTGAAACTGAATAAGTCTGTGGAAGCACGCAAGCGTGACGAACTCCACTTGTCGTTGGAAAGCTATCCGACAGGTACCGTAGACCCTGACACGGCCTGTAGTGTTCGAGTATAGAGCACGTACGATATTCATAGATTTCGTGGGAACATCTTTCCGCGCGAGTATTCCGAACAGGTTCGATCGATCGACTGAATCGTACGCGTTCTTGAAATCGAGGAACACAGCTATTGTCGGTCTGCGGTATGCGTGGCACTGCTTTAGCACCTGTCGCAGGGTGAATATATGGTCTATGCAACCACGTCCTGGGCGGAAACCTGTCTGCTCTTCCCTAATCCGAGATTTCCGTTCCACAGCGAGGGGACTAACAAGAACCGAAACCAGTAAGTTTGTCACAACTGGCGTTAGGCAAATACCCCTATGGTTAGAACAATCTGTGCAACTGTTCTACTTGTGTATTGCCACTATAATCGATGCGCTTCAGTTAGACTGAACACGCTGAACACACGAAAGGGATTGGAGGCTCTGATCGCGTTTCGGACCTCGGAATTCAATGGAGCCTGTAAACTAACTGTCCATCGCTCGCCCTGCACCACCTGAGTAAGAAGAGCTTCGGGATCCTAGGGCGAGCTGAATTGATCTTGAAAGTATTCCACCCAACGAGCCATACGGTGCTCCTTATGGTGTATCAGTGCAGCCGCGCTGTGTCTGCTTGTCTCACTGACGCCAGGTTTCCTGGGACCGGTGGTGCGGATCAGCTGGAAGAGCCTGCGAAAATTGCCTATTGCTCCTGCTTTCTTCATTTCCTGAGCCCGACTGGTCCACCAGGCCTCCTTGTCAGCACGTAGGCTCCGCTTTATTTCGCGCCTAATAGCCCGTCTGGTCATATTGTGCTCAACGCCAGCCAAAAGGTTTCTTCTGGATTCCAACAGGTTCACCGACCTCTTTGATAATCAGTGACTGATGAGGTGACTATTTATGGTGAAACGATCAGTTGCTCCTGCATCCTGCATGGCGACCAAGACACTACTCCACTGAAGCTTAGCATCATTAGGACAAGGGAACGAAAGTTCGGTAAGCAGTGCTTCTTGATACGCCTGCCTGCCCGAGAGCTGAGACAATTTCTCAGTTAGCAATCGGAGGAGACAGTTGGTGTGCCTCCCAGTAAAATTCATGGAGAAACAACAGAGTACTAAAGCAAGAGCAATGCGTTCATGTCTTCTGCAACTACTAGAATATCTGCACTAGTAACATTGCATAGTAGCGCGCTACGTTCGTGGTAGAATGTCCTTGGCAGCATCAGAACTGCAGTCGGTGGGAGTGTAAGCGGAAATCACAAACAGCGTTTTGGACTACTTCATGAATAGATCTTAGCTGATGCCGTCAAACGGGCTGCACATAAACGGCTGTTTACCGGAAACCAATCAACCAAGAATGTCGCAGCCTTAGAGCTTAGAATGATACCTACACCAGCTTGACTCGTGAGTGCTGCATCGGCGTCTCCGGATGCGTGTAACCAATAACGAGTGGATAAGCCGGGTACCATTAATTCAACAACCCCAGTAGGGCCATTGATCCTAGTTTCGGACACACAACACACACCTATGCCCAATGTATTCAAGGCGCGTGCGAGCGCAGCCTGTAGACCTCCTTGTCTTGGTGTGCGAATGTTGGACGCCGCCAGGGAAACGAGATAGCATGGTCTTATAAGGGGCTGTTGCCGATAGGCGTCCGATGGGTATTGTGGGAAGGTGGCTGCAGATGGTAATACTCCCTTGGCACTTCGGTTGCTGTCAGTTAAGCTGGGAAATATAGAAGGAAGGTTAGTAATGGAATCGGGATCAAAGTAAGAGTAAAAGGTGGAAAAGAAAGAAGGGAGGCTTCAGCAGTACATGTTATTACTTATCGGTCCTGCTTTATGCAGCAGATAAGGCGACTCTTGATAATATGTGCGAAGGCAGATGCAGGATGAAGTTTATGTTTAAAAAATGTTATGATTGTATGGGGCTGAGGCCCTGCCAGGGCGCCCAGACTTAGGCAGGAGGACGATTAGGGTCCTTTTCCAAAGCCCTTGACTCAAAAGTCTTCCAAAAGGCGGCAGAGAGTTGGCAATGAGTTAGTTTTACAGAAATAATCGCCAGCTCATCACAATCCCAAACGTGGAGGACCAGCAGACTGAGTTTGTCTAACCTCTCACCATTGACCAACCTGGTAGGAATAGCTCTCAGTGGGTCCGGGGGCACCACCCAGTATATCTCAATGAGTCAAAGAGGTACGCAAACCGTCACACCACGTTAAGATCCAGTTTCCTTGCGACGGCACCTAGATAGAACCTAAGGTTCAACTGGCTGTACAAAAGCAAAACAGACATTGCTGGGCGGCCGGTGTCCGAGTGGTCTGCATGCTTTACTTGCAACCATAAGGTCGCCGGTTCGAATCTGCTTAGGGGCGGGCGTACTCGAAGTATACTCAGCCCACGCTTCACTGGTGGTGGTCGCGTGGTAGCGCAGTGCCGCTACACTGTACAGCTGACACATCAACTTCATTTATTGCCAGGCGAGAATGTAGTTTATTTACCCGCCATACCTGCCGGTATACAAAGTATTTACCAAACAAACTGCACGGCATAACAAATCCGTGTTAGCTTGATAGATATACCAAGTTGTAAGGACCGAAAATGTCATTAGATACATTGTCTTATTGAGCGCACTACTTAAATACAATTGTTAATTTCCGCCATGCAAGACAGGCTATATCATTGCAACCTAAATAATGTCAAAGCAACGCATCTGACTGTAACGTAAGTTTGCACATTTGTAAAAAATACCTTGGTTCCCGCATATTGTTGCAACTCACCATATGCAAGTATAGCAACATCATTTTTACGTGCATTCCTGGGAAATTAAGTCTGTAGCCGTGGATGTGGAAGCAATTATGTTTAAAGTTGTCAAAGATTATGTCGTCGAAAATGACCACACAAGCCTGTTGGAATGTAACACACCCAAGATTAAATTTAGATAAGAACAAAGAGTGTTGTTAAACTTTGTACCGTAATTCTGGTTTCTTTGCAACATTATCACGGTTATGCACCTTAAACATAGCTGTCAAGTAAATTTCCCATTTCAAATAGCTGTATTACCCAAAACTTTAATTTTATTTATTTACTTAACCTTTTATTACTGATCGCTTTCACAATATTCGCTTTTGTTTTACTGCCCCTTATTCCCGTTTGCGCAGTACGTTAAAGTGCTGAAGACTGCTCTTGTTTTGCTTCCCTTATCCACATCTTCTTGTAGTCCCGTCGAATATAGTCCGCCGTGTTAGAGTACATTAGTTTTACGATATTGATAGTTAATCACGTACAGTGCACAGGGCTTGCATTTACTAGGCCTACAAAAGATGCAGTATCTACAAACAAGTACAAACCACCATTCGTGATGTTGTTTACAGTTCAGAAACCCATGGATTTTAGCAGCTCACTTTTTTAAAACAACTAGCGTTTGTAACGCACATTCTTATGCTAGGAAATTTGTGAATATCTGTACTGGTCAAGGTACGTAACCGAGTACTAATAGCATAAAGCAAATGTATTCAAAGCTAACGGACTATAATCGAAGAGGCTAGAAGGAAATTGGTGTGTATAAAGCAAACCGAAAATACTGTTAGCGTATTAACCGACCGAGCAGACAAACATTGAGCCAGAGGTGTGTAAACATGATCTTAGGGTCTGAAGCAGTAGGCCAAAAGCTAACGATGCACAAGCGGTCAATAATCAAACGGGTACAAAAAAGGCAATAAACATATTTTGGTGTGCCACAGGTTAAGGTCACCTATATATCATCGCAAGGCCTATTTCTTGGGTTAAAGATGTTTAAACTTTTGCTGTAAGATAAGAGCCGGCGCTTTGTTTGACGTTAGGCGTGAAATACTAATGATGTTACAAGTGCTAACACCTTGATAAGATCTTCAGTAACAAATATGTGAAAACGCACTTTCCGTCATAACAAAACTAATGTTGGATTACATAGAATGCACCTCGTTACTATGCAGACGACGAGTAGGATAAAAATAAAACCTATGTTAAGCTTTACTTATCGTTTCACTTGAAATGGTTGGTAAACTACTGAATGTATTAGACCTTTATAACCTTATTGGTTACAAAACGCAGCACAATTATTTCATCATTTTGTCGGCATAGTTTATTTGGTTTAGTAGGATGATGATTAGACCTTAGCAAAAAAGATAATAAGGCTAGTATTATTTAATTTACTTTGATGCCATAATGATTAAGATACCTGTTTACCTCCAATTTTATGCCTTTTATAAATGAATGCACCTTTATAATAATAGCCTGTTAAGAACTTGCAAATTTGCGGTTTTCCTTATTAACAAAAGTAGTACATAAACTACTAGTTCATTGCCGTACACCCACAATTACCTAAGAATCAGATAAAAATAAGACAGAGGGACGGAAACAGCGCATAAGCTGAAAGCCCTAAGCATACATTCAAGACAAGTGTGCCCAAACTTTGTCGACTATATACGGTGCAAGCTAGCTGTTTGAAAAACAAGCTGGAATTGACCAGTCAGCAGTAGGAGCAGAATGTTTTCTCTTATAGACCTACTGTCACTTCTGAAAATGTCACTTTCAAAAATGAGCGACGACCGACGCAAGATCTAGTTTGGGAATGATAAAAGGTTGACTGTTATAGAATTGTACCAGATCGCAATCGGCGGTTTACATAGGAATAGTTGATAACATTTGTATAAAACTTTGTATTACACAGTATAACTTTGTATAACGTTTGTATAAAGTTGTATAAAATCACAATGATTCATATTACACATAGGTAAATTTCCTGAGTGCACGACGTTTGTCTAACGAAGCTCATACTCAGCGATTTACGTCGCATACATCACTTGATGAAACAAAATGCATACGAGCTACAAAAGTGCTGTATTCTAGTTTTTTTCAGTTCATCGAGCACAATTTAAACCTACCCAATTTCGGTTGTGGTAGGCAGACGGATCTCCTCGCAAAGGTCCAATGTAATCAGCTTGTGCAATGCATGGTGTGTTTCAGTCAATTTAGCGTATTTTGGTAGCACCATAAAGCTGTTTAGCGGCCTTCGTAGAATAGGGATTTGTTCCACTTTTGGGTCAATCACCGACAAAGTGTAATAAATTGGTAAAGTGGTCAGCACTCGCACGTTGCTGAAAGGGTCGTTTTTATTTGATTGACGAAATGATGTTAAGCACTGATCAGACGAATCTGAATACAGTAAGGACTTTTCAATGAGATCTTTTCTGACTTTTTGCAATTGTTCTTTTAAGCTCTTGTAGGAGTTACCCCCTGATGCCCCTCCAGCATCTACCTGCAAGCTTTCCTCAGGCATCTCATGTTTGGTGTTGGTGTGGGTGACAAGGGGCCTGACTAAGAATTTGTGAAAATTACTGCGTTGAACCAAGTTGCTATGAATGCTTTTCGGATGCAATGAATCCAGCAAACTTGATTTGTATTCAGGAATTGCCGAGGAAACACTTTTTCTACCGTTTGGAATGAATTCGCCGGATCGGACGCGCTGGACAATAGGTGACATGCATTCAAGTTTTTTCGTACGCCTTAGTCTACCAGGGCGTTTATCAGAACTCTCTCTAATTGCAAGTGAAGCGGAGTTTCCATTAAACAAGTTCGGACGAACAGAGTTACTTTGTATACTATTTTCAGGAAAATGAATTGAGCTTTGCTGGTGGTTGGCTGATTCAGACCGAACAAAACAATAGGGACTCAAAGGTAACGACTCCGCATTGGCATCAGTTGGCTTACGTCGACATAGAACATGCCCCACGGAACGGAAACGTGGTTGTAGAACCGCATCCTCAGCTGTCCTGAGCAGCTTATCCTTCAGGCCAATATTAGGTGGCTGTTCACTTTTCGAAACATTGCGGCGTATCATTGATTCTCCCCGTCGGCTATTCGCGAGAGTTCGGATATATTGTGTCTGGTATGTCTTAATTAATCCATCAAGGTAGGTTGTATTTGCTACCTTTGTTAAAATGTTTGAAGCTGGTCGACGTGATGATTTGTTCCAAGGCTGGATATGGTTTGGACTTGGGTGCCGCGTATAAACACCGTTGACATGAAAGTGGCGATCATTTACACCATGCTTCTTATTTGATGAGGACATGTCAAGTAACGTATCCGGCTTTCCGGTACAAAAGTAAATGTTGCCAATACTATTTTCACTTCCCTTTGGATCATGGTTCATTTTAACCGCGCTCACATTAATAGAGCACGTACGTTATCATGACTTGTTATCGAACGCGCGTGAGGCCAGCTGCGAACCAAGTAAATGTGAATAAATAAATCTCCCCAAATATGTGTGAAAGAAGAAAATGCTGCTTGCTATGTCATTTAGGCAGGTTTGATTGCACAACGTTTGGTTGCACGTCGAAAATTGCTCCTCGGGCGGGGTTCTGCAGTACAGATTTCAAATCGCAGCCGAGTGTGTTCTCGAAAATTTGTTCTAACTTTTTCGTTCATATACAGCCAATTATTATTGAAAATTTGTTCTTGTAAAAGTAACGGAGCAAATTCATTTCCACGCAAAAGTGCATATTTCATTTTGGTTCCTTGATGGTAGTTAGAGTTATTATAATATTTTCTTTACCTAATCAATAAGAACCACTATACAAATATTAAAATAATACATATTATTATATTTTGTGTGCAAATGTTTCCGTGTACTTAGCCAACCGCTGCCTCACACAACCGAACGCAAATCAAAATCGTTAACGCGCATTGAGCAAGCAACGGGCCCCGTTTCGAAGACCGTTGTCGTAAATTGTAATTCTACGAACGCTGCAAAGCCTAGTAATTAGTAAATAATGCAACCAAAGTATTCAATAGGCGTAACTAAAGTGCAACTGATTACTTATTTAGTGAGAAAATCGCTAAAGAAAGCGAATGTGCATTCTGCATTTTACAATAGAAAAGTTTGGGCGTTTAAATTTAGCTGTGTTAGGATGCTTTCTTTAGAACTGCTCGCGCACTAGTATTTTTTATCACATCTATCGCCATCTCTTTTATTTATCATTCTTCAATTAAACCTGTCATTTGTTGCTGGTTTGAAATTTCGTACATTTCCGTCTTGTCAACTGTCTCGCGCTATAAATCCTAATAAATTGCTTAACCTGATCTATTGCGACCGCAGCCGGTTCGCGTTTGTCACGGTAAAAAGTTAAATGGCAAGTTTCATGAATATTGCTAAATCTTAGTCTTACCCTCTGATTCCTCTCCGACCCTTCCCTCGTCTGTGCATCCTTGGCTGCCTCCCTTACAACGGCCTCTTACTAACGGTACTATGAGCCTCCAGCCGTCAACGAGATATTAATTCGTTTTGCAGCTCTATTGATCAGTTACGGCATGCCGTACTATTTACACTCGGAAGAAGTTGGAAGGCTGTACCGGCTGGTTATTACGCGACCAGGAACCGAGTATTTGTTAGCAGGGTTTATCCGGCTTGCCACTATTTTTCCATTCTCCGAGGTCTGTGAAGGTCCAGCTGGAATGTTCTGCGGACCCCGACGAATCACCTTCCTGACTGCGTGGGATGAATTCACCCAGTTAGGAGTTACCTGCGTAGGCCATCTGGTCCATGGCTCACATACCTTAATGGAAACACGATTGCGCAAATGCCAAAGCCATTGCTCAGATCGGCACTTACATGCACACAACACCTCTATGACACTAGTCTAGTATGTATAGCTGAAAATGAAGAGTTTATATTCCAAACTCCTACGCCGTCGAAATAAGTACAATAGACTGAACAGACCGTCCCATTCACGAAGTTCTCGCCATTCATTTACAAGGACCCACAATCGATATATGCATTGGACAAGCGTCCAAGCCGCCATACGATTCAACCGTTTCGTAAATGAAGGTTTCTGGCGTGCTCACTATTCCATGCACCAAACATTTCCCCAAATACCCCATCCCTGACGATCCTAAGCATACGACGGAAAGCAGCTGTTCAAAATACTTGTTTCTAACTGCTTCTACGGTTTCTGAACAACAAGCGCACATTTTCACAAACTATACATGCATCGTGGAACACAATCCTTCAGTAATCTAGCCTCATTATCATGCCTAGGTAAGCGTGCATCAAAGCCTATTTATTTATTAGTAAGCAGCTTGGCCCGCTCGATAACCCTTAACACTCAGCATGCCTATTTCGTATTTTGTCCAACTTAATAAAAAGCATGAAAGGACTGCTGGTTGCAATAGAAGAGGAATGATGAGTAACCATTAGACAATCTACTAAACCAAAAAGAATGGAGACGTCACATACTGTCCTTACGTCATAATATAAAGTACCCACGTGTGCTATCTATTGCAAGCTATCTGAGCCTGTTTACAAATTTGCTGTCCACGTAAAGCTATTCCGCTGTGCGGATATCTTTTGTTCGCCTGCCCGAATTAGGTACGCGGAATAAAGGAGCAAGTCCTTAAATGTAAATTTTATCAGAAGTTCTTTGTTCTTAATAAGGGGTTACTGCGCCGCTTCACAGAAGTGTACCGTTAAGCGACGCTCGCGGATAGTTGACGGTAAAGTGGATGAGCGTCGTAACATGTAAGCAGGAGTGATTTGGCATGCATTGTCCTATCATAGTGAGGATAAGAAATTGAACCGTCACTTCTGCAACAGCTACCAGTATCGGATGACGGATCCATTTCCTTAACTGCCTTAATTATCTGCCGACTCACTGCCCACCAAATAGAAGGAACCGGTGAAAATTTACTCGCGGAAAGCGAACAATAAAGCCAAGCCATTCGGTGTTGCTTTCACTGAAGGTACTCAAGTTTTCCGAAGTTTCTACATGCTTACTGCACATGGTATACTCAACATGGTTTGGACAGCTATAGGAGGTGATGGTGAAGCGATGATGGGTCGACTTCTTTTACTCTACGGCCCAAGGTGTTTACAAAACTCAGATCTAAGTTGTTGCTGGCGCAAAACGGAAAATGATTCTTTTGTATCCCAGCATGACATCCTAATGTCAGCTTAACCGCCCTTAACCTACTTCAGGCATATTATTCTGTCGTCGTCAGTTAATATGGGTAAGAGCACATGGCCGCTATTTAGAAATTTGAAACAGCGCGTTTTCGTTGCGTTCCATCTTTCTATACCCTGAGTTGCATACAGTAGTGTTTTGGCCCCTTTTGTGTTACTTTAACGTAACACATTCCTACTACGAACTCGTGTGTTCCGTTTTTGGGCTTTTGTCCAACACATTGCTCTACTATCGTTTGTCGCGTTCACGTTTTTCATTTTGTTTTGTATATACCCGTGTGTTTACCTGTTTCTATACCTATTATTTACAACCTGGCCGGCAAACTTCGCGTGCCTCCCATATCTCTCAAGAAGCCAGGGAAATCCCCAGCGCCTTCGACCGCCAAGGCTAGTCACCCCCAAACACGAAAGTGCAAAGTTATACTTTCTGATCCACTAGCTGAGGCTTTGCAAATGGCTTTTGCCCCAGAAAGTCAAGTGAATGAACTAAAAAGTCAAATTGTGACTATTACGGAGCTTCTCGACAAGCTCACACCTTTTGCCAACCTAACCAAATACCAAAGTTTAGAAAATCTGACTGATCTATTCACAACCGTGAACTACTGAGCAACTTTGCACACGAAGTCAGTGAACGCATGCGCAGCGCCAACAACGCTATTGTACTCAACGTACGTGATAAATTGCCTCTCAAGCAAGTGCTGCAAACACTTTTAGGTGCTTGTCAAATGCCACATGGTTGTTGCACAGCCACTCATTTGCGAAAGATCCCTGGCCGATCTTGCACAATCGTGAGCAAGTTTTGCAACCACGACTTTGCTAAAAGGTTTACTGACGCCGATTTCTCCCACGACATCTGCCTACTCTCGGACCAATCTTGAGAAAACCGGAGGGGACACCGCTGCAGAGGTCTATTCAATCTAATTGAGAACTAACCAAAATGACAACGCAAACAACACTACATTCGGGAGCACAAATGCCTAATACTCACCTAACTTCAACACCTACTGCTTGCTCTTTTATGGTTTATGATGTGGATATGGATCTAACCCGACAGGGCCTAGTAGACCCCGCCGTACTACAGCCGTCTGGGAACAAAGGACGCATTAATAGCATCGAAACTGGGACTGTTTCAATGACGGCAACAACCAATGCAGCGGCGGACACAACACACCTGTCAGACATGTGTGGTACGGAAGCAGAAATTGAGAGCATTGACTTTTGTCGTCTTACACGCCCCTTGCCAGTGTCAGAAAAGACTCCGCGCAATCTCGCACTTGTCTGGCTCTAACGTCTAGCAACCCTCTCGACGGTGTTTGATTGCTAAAACTCCTGGGTTACCATGGAAGCCACAACAGTACAGCAAAGTTATAACACGCGAACGTTCCAACATGGCCAAGACAATCCACCGTGGGTACCGGTTATGCAAAACACCCAATCGGTTCGAAAGGACATATCGAAACTCCTCCACCCCTATCCTGGGCCGGAGCCTAATTATGCGACCAAAAAACTGGAACAGCCCGGTCGACAGCCGTATCTACTCAACACACCAACCCCCTTACTTCGGATGTCAATTCCGAGCAAGTCGGGTTTCCCTGCTGGTCGAGCCACAATGTCACACAGACAACGACCACATAGATACCTTAACGTTATATGTGTCACGAACACCGCACTTCCTAGGCCTTCTGAACCCAGCGAATCTTTAACTCGACCATCACATATTCGATCACTCCGCGAGTCGACCAAACATCTCTCGTATCCCCTTTTTTATGAAACGCAGCAAGTTGCGGACCCCCGATCCAAGCATGCCTAAATCAAGATCCGGCGCTGTATCACCTAACCCGACTACTGGAAATGATGCAACTAACGCCATCCAGTACCCTCCAACCACTTGGACGACATCTTAGACCAACGGCACTACACCTGACAGCGAGCCTGACCTTACAACTCAAACTTATCTACACGCGAATACCTCTTACCTTACCCTACAACCTACTGTCCCTGACCACCGTCGGCCTCCGACCTCATCTTCTGCAGGTTCATCGTTCACGCACCTCAGCGCATGTTTACAAACAAGCCTCTTACCAAAACACGGTTCGCCAGGTGCGCCGTTGGCCGAACCCCACATCCAGACTAAATCGACTGATTCGTATACAATCCTGATATATAATCCTCGATCTATCAAAAATAAAATGCACCCTCTTGCTCCTCTCATACTTCTGTCCAATCCGCATGTGGGGCTGTTAACTGAAACGTAGCACGCAGCTGATATGCCTTATGCTCCTCTGCACATTCCTGGGTACTGGACTTTCTGCAGCGGACGCATAAATCAACGAGGCCGTGGTTGTCTTATATACGTCAGCAATGAATTCCACGCATCTTCTTTTCAAACCATACCACTCGGAAATCCCGAAGATTCTGT